GAAACCTATTCGAATCGATCGTCGTTAGAAAGGAAACGAATGGAAGAAAGCAATCGGTGAAACAGCAGTCTTCCTCTATCGAGCAAATAATTCTCCAGGATCGACCTTCGAGAGATTCCACCGACACTGCTTTCATCTCCTTGACCCCGATCGAATCCTCGATATTCGATTCGAGCAAACACTGCATTCGGAAAATTGGCCTCCAACCCTACTACTACACGCTTTCGTGCCAGCTCCACCAACTCTACCACGGACTTTTAGATTGATTCGATGGATGCGGATACCTGTAGAGGGAATTATCCGCGGCAACACGTGAACAATCGTGAAAAAAAACGATTGAAATAATTCTTTTCGTTTTATAGTTTGAAAACTTAAAAACGCGGTAATTTTAACGATTCTTTATTCATACGAGAAATAATAAGAGTTCTCTGTTGAAAGATCTTGCTTTTCCAAAAATTATATTTTTCTTATTTATTCACACTATATCGATTCTTTAGAAAAAAAGATATAGTTTTATATATATATATCGTGAATAAAATGAAGAAAAATCGTGTAGAATTCATCTGAAACGAAAAGCCTTGGAAGTTATATCGGATAATATATTTTTTATTTTATTTATTTTGCTCTTTTTTATTATTTTTATTATCATAAAATTGTCCACAATGTGGAAAATAAATTCCTCTTTTTTTTTTTTCAAACACGACTCCCTCTATATATATACATATATATCCGTCAACGCGTAATTAAAATTCATTTGAAAAAAAAAAAGAAAAAAAAATGAATCTTCCATCTTCGATAGCGATAACGATTCATCATTGGGAAAAAAGTAAGCCAGGGGCGCGATAATCCGTTCGCAAATACGCGACAGAAGGAAGAACGGAAATGGCAATAGTCGGAGGAATCAGCGGTAGAAGGAACGAAGGAAAACGAGGAACACGGGCAGGTGGAGGAGGCAGAAAGGCCACGGGTGAGGGGAGGTCGGGGAAACGAAGGCAGGGGAGAGGGATTTATTACCAAGGATTTACTGTTATTACCCGGAGGGGGAGAAGCACTCGAGCGGCGCGCGGCGTTGCATACGTGTGTGGGGTGGTGCGTTTATCCGATGCACAGACCTCTATATATATATATATATATGTGTGTATGTAGCCAGAATATACATGGTCGCGTGCATGTAACGTGGATAAGCTGGATTCGCAAACTCGACGTTCCGCGTCTCCTAGCGACTGCGGTTTGTCCCACCTCGGCCCTCTGCCGCGTATCCATGCATTACGCTCTGCGTAATTGAACAGCGCCAACGTACTTTGCTTTACATTTTAACTCGCCTCCCGCTATTATTCCCGGGACGCCAGGAACAAACTTTATCCGATTATTGTTTCGAATGGGAATAAAAGGAAGAAATAAAAGATCGTTCTCCCATTCGTTTCGGTCGGGAGGATCGAACCAATCTCGTCGTTCTAGGTTAAAATTTTCGATTGTTGGAAAAAAAAAAATGGAACGACGTTTCGAGAACGATGTTCGATCGATTCTACAACTAGGATTAATTGTTCATTGGGTATATTGTATTCTAACAATGATTATGATGTTAGAATGGTGATGTTACGATTTCGTTTTCCGAAATATACTTTGTTTACGTTACGTTACGACTCGTTTCGAAGCAGGTCAATGAAGTTCGAAACGAGGGCTCAGTCGATAATCGATCCGAGCTCGCTCGATTACTATTGAAATTCCAATATGGCGATTTCAATATGGCGCTGTCGTAAAACGAATTGCATCTGTTTGGATTGGTTTCGATTATTCGAAAAGTTGCTCGTGCAACTTGATCAAAGTGTTGTGTATAAAATTGAAAACCACGACTCGTGTCGAGAATAAAATTCTCAATAGAACAGTGTGAACAAATTTAATGCGGATCGATAATTACTGTCTTGTTTTCGATAGTGTTTATATCGGTTACATGTATGAATAAAAATTGCTCAAAATTTTCTTTTTGTCAATATATTTCAATTTTTTCCAGTGCATATCTTAATTATTCTTATAACTTGTATGTTTTCCGCCATTTATTCTCAATCGAATTACAAAAACTAGATCTATAAAAACTGGCTGTACCAAAGAGCAATAAATAATAAATGAACTTATATCCCCAATTATTAAATATTCAGCATAAATTTGAAACGAATTAACAACAAATCTTCGGAAGATTTTTCGCGATTAATAACATTAAATTTAACAAAAAACGGATGAATAATTCAATTCGCAAGGGAAGAGTGAAACGAAGAGTCGAATTTTTAACGAACTTCTCTCGTTGGAAAGAAATAGAATTCCTGATGCCGCATGCGCGCTATTGAAAGTCACGTGATACTGCTACGTTTCTAGGATTTCGTTCGTTGGAAAAATAACCGGCGCCCGGACGGGATATGAATTTTCGTCATGGTGAAATTTTTATTTGCGTTTTGGATTTTTCCCTACATCCTTTTGCCGGGGCGCTGCTGCTGGATTTACGTTTCGCCGTGGAATTTTTTTTTTTTTTTTTTTTTTTTTTTTCTTTTTTTTTTT